TTTTTTTTTAAAAAAAAAGGCAAGTTTAGGTAGAAGTGGAAATGCTTGATCGGACTCATGTTACCGGCAAATTTATGGCGATCAAAGCGGACCAGACGCACTACATAGTGGACTCGTTGAAAACACCAATTGGAGTGGTCAAGCGTGCCGCTTTACGCATGGACGACACGCTTGTTATTAGTACCGATGTGACCGATGTATTACCGCATTTTCGAGCATCTTCCTGTTGATTTGGCCGAGTAACAAATGTAGAGAACGTCCCTGTGGGCTTTTGTGCTGTATCACTTAAATTTGGGATTTTTTCGTTTAATAGTTTCGATTTTAATATTTTTTGGTGGGACATTTCGCCAACATGTACCGAAAAAGGCAAGGGGAGGGGAAGTATTCAGCTCGGGATCGAAAAGCCTGACATATCTACGTTTAACATGTGAAAAGTATTTAGCCCCAGAGTGAGTCTTGCTATTTTTTGGATGTGATATTATTTATATTTGATCAAATTCTGATCAAATTTTTCGCTAATGTTCTTTCTGCAGATTCACCTACGTAAATAGAGGGGCCATAAAAGGCTGGACCAAATTTGGACGCGGTCCAAGTAGGCCCACCAAAGAAGAGGGTGAAATTGTCAAGTGGTTTTTTGCAGCCGCTGATAGGCCGAACCATATGTAACGACTCGTACAAACCGAAGAAAATTAAGAACGGCTAAAAGCTAAAGTTATTTTTCTCCCCTCTATATACATTTCCCTTGTTTTGGCACCCCTCAACATGAATGCTACAAACGGCTTACTCTGAACGAATGAATCAACGTTCATTTACCTCCCTCTTTTCGTCTTTCAGCGATTTTGAGAAATCTTTGTGTACGTTGTTGTAAAAATCATTGTTATGTGTTTGCTCACCAAGTTGTTCCTGATAAACATTATTCAGAATCTTTTCCAGTCAGTTTGAGACAGCTGCTAAGCTTGTGCTAACTCCCCCGGACCACATTAGGGATCAAAGATCAAGAAGGTGGGAAGCCCCAATTGAGTGATAACTCAGTTTTCAAGCTATTTCCTTCCCCCTTAGATTAATGAAAATGTAAGAAAATTTGCGTGTTCCGTTTTCGTCCCGTCGGTGTTTGTTTTTCATCTCCTCATCACCAGTAAATCATAAACTTGATTTTGCTTCTCTACAGTGTGCGTACACTCCAAGCACCACGCTACACAACGATCCACCATACTAGTTCACCCCATCCCATAAAAATTTTTTCTTAAGGTTGCTTTAGACGAATGAATCAACGCTTATTTCGTTGTC